CAGTTGAAACACTGGTTTAAATAATTTTTGGAATGTTTCAACTGCCTCCCGCAGTGCTACATCCTACGCCCTGAAGACGAGCTGCAAAGTGGGTCGAAACGTCGGCAAAAATTAAATAATTACTATATTTTAATTTAGTATTATTTGACTGCACCCCCCAATTAACTCCTTCTCATAAAATAATTGTTAACGACAATGACATAATTAATAATCAGCCATTAAAGCAAAGTAAGGATTACAAAAATTATTTTTATATTCAATTATGTTTACATAGTTCAACACGAAAAAAATGGTAAATTAATTATTGTTGTTACTCAGTTGTGTTAATTTTTGTTTCCTCACTACCGAATGTAGGCAAGCATTGTATTCGTGCGAGAGGTCAAAAAACTTTTTGTGATCAGAATCGAAAAGTCCCACCCGCGTTTTACGTTTCAGACATCAAGGATCAAATTTGGTTCGGTGTCTGCCTGTAGTCAAATCGATGTCACGGACATATCACCTACTACCGTTCATCCGATTTTCAGTTTCTAGAGATTGTGAGAGTAGGTGTCTAGATGGCCCCGTACCAATTTAATCAAATTAAATGCAGTACTTCCGCTTGTGCACACGCTAACATATTTTAGTAGATATATCAATATTTCAGAAAAGACTTGACCGATTTGGCTCAAAGTTGATGCAGCATCAATTTTATTGAATTCAATATACTACTTTCTCTTATATATGAGCAAACCTGCTATTCTTGATACGTTTGTCCTACTAAAACCAAACGTTCTATTTGGCCTATAACATAATATTCCTATTTGGCTCATAACATTTGGAGGGAAGTTAGGGGTTGGTTAACCGATAATCAAGTGTGTATGAATTTAATCAAACTCTATCCACTACTCCAAAAAAGAATACTTCCGCTTTTAAGTCAAGAAATGCATTATTCGACACGCCCATAGTTTAAAAACTTCGCGTTCGATTTGATCTAAGCTTGGAGGAAATTTGGAGAATGGTATAGAAATTACCTAGTATCAATTTCATTGAATTCCATTAAGTAATTAAAATTCACATAAATAAATGTTAACAATATAATGACAGTGAAATTTAGAAGACATTGATCATATGGAGTGAGAGTTAGGTTAAGACAATATTTTTATGGGGTTATAAAGTTTTATGTCTTATTCAAAAATGCTGTTTCTGAAATTTCGTGTAATTTTGAGTAAATTTAAATTAATTTTTACTCTGAGTTTGAAAAAAAAGAAGTCTTATTTGTAATATGGTTATTTCTATTGAAATATAACGAGCTCGTCATGGTCTCGATTTCCTCCTTAAATATGAAAGATGTATGAGCTTAATGCATATTTTTAGATTAGATCTGTTCTCACTGAAAAAAAGTATTGGTTTCCTAATCTCCGAACAAACAAAAAATTACATTTTTCCAATGGTTTTTTTTGTTTCATCCATTATACGAGTAAAAGATACTATATTGAATATATAACGCTACTGTTAGTGCAAAAGATCAGAAGTAAATAAAATGTTACCATTTATATTATTTTTTTGATAAAGATGACATTTTGTAGTCATCAAAGTTTTGTTCTCATAATCGAATTTTTTCACCAACGTTTTACGTTTTAGACATCAAGGATCAAATTTGTTTCAGTGTCTGTCTGTCTGTAATCAAATCAATGTAACAGACATACCACCTATTACCGTTAATTTTCATGAAATATTCAGGGATGTGTGGGTTTATTGTCACTGGCGGATCCAGGATTTAATTTGGGGGGGGGCTTCAGCCCGAAAGATTTTTTTTCATATACATATAACAATAATTAATTAGACAAAAAATAAAAGAAATTAACTACCTATATGAAATGGTGTTCTTGAAGTCCTATTAAATGTAATTACACGAACAAGAATACTTTAAGAGATAGTTTTTAATATTTTTTTTCTGTAAAATATAGTTATATTTTACCATTTTGGGGGGGGTGGCTTCAGCCCGAAAGCCCCTCCCCCCGTAGATCCGCCTGTGGTTAGTGTCTAGATGGTCCCATATCAATTTTATCAAATTCCAGCACTTCCGCTTATACAAACGCAAACGCATTTTTGTAGATATGCCAATATTATAGAAATGGCTCGTTCGATTTGGTTCAAAGTTGTATAAAAGGTAGACATTGGTGAAAAATTAATGTAATGTCAATTTTATTGAATTCTGTCCAATACTTTGTCTAATATCTGAGAAAACGTGATTTTAATTAATTAAAAAGAATAATCAGTTTGTGTACTCTTCCCGAAAACAATTAATATTTACATACGACCTTTTTTATTAACATGCGATATGCATGTTCAATATGAAATGGATTATTTTTATTTAATCACGAACCATCAAATTCGCAATTTGAAAATGTGGAACTCTTCCTCACTTTAATATTCCCCGCTGAACAAAATCTGTGGACAACAAACCCGTGATTGTTGAGAGTTTATTGTATCACCAAAAACAACTTCAACCGGAGATTCTATTCTCATACGAAAAATGATAAACCATGAAACATAGATATTGTTTATCCAATGAAAACGGTGAGGAAGCTATACTGACCTTTACATGGCAGACGTTTTCTTCTTTAAGACTTGTCAAAGCAAGTACTATTTTGCCAATGCAGTATTTTAATTGTCACTGCTGGACGACACCAAACTAGATATGAAGTGCTAAATAATTTTGAGTGCAACTTACAACTTACATGGAGCTTGAACCCGATGACCAACAATTTAAAACTGAATTAACATGTTTTGAGTTTTGCAAAACAAGAACAAAAGGCGATTTTAATTATATAATTGCTTTCACATACAGTTTCAAAAATTTACTAAACTCCGAGCGTTTTTTTTCCTTGTTGATCAAAGAAAGTTAAAACAACCATCCATAGCTTGCGATCCTAAATATCTTCCTCTTTGTTCAGGCATTGACATGATGGACTGTACTATTAAAACACTTTATTCAGAAATATTACAATTTGTCACAGTTTAAGGACACTTATAATAGAGTTCAGAGATTGCATTCATACCGTATATACAAGAATATAAATAAATAAAGTAATAACAAAAGAATAAGAAAAAAGAACAAAAGAGTAAAGAAAAAAAAAATATATATATACATAAGTAAATAAAAGTAAAACAAACACCTTATATAAAACATACCTATATACATTATTTACAATTTGCCAGGTGATCTCCGAACCAATCCTGTCCCCTCCACATGTGGAGGGAAAAGGGAGGCTTAGGAGATCCCTACGCTTCTCCCTCAGCCACTTCACCGGTATTTTAAACCAGCGGAGGATGAGTAAGAGCGCAATAGCCACAGACACTCATGACTTGAGTGGAGAATCTGGCCATTGCTAGAACTCCAAAATATCCATATTTACAAAAGGTCTCGTGGCCAATGGACTGTAACTACTCTTTGCTATACCCATTACCATAGGCGCAGACTTCAGGGAATGAGTTAGGGGATAATATCGTTTCACCTTCCCCCACCCCCAATGTTCCAAAGAACAAAATTTAAAAAAATAAAATAAAATCAATAACAATTAATCTACATAAATGAATAAAATATATGATCTAAAATCAATTAATAAACTAGGAAAAATTGAGCAATAATATTAATTAATTAATTATATGGCTAACCTAAGAGCTAGAAGTAAACATTTATTTTTAAATATGTAGCATTTCATTATTCGTTTTACAATAATTATGTAGATTATTTTAATTGTTACTCATAATTTTTATAATGATATAAAATCTGAGACCTTTTTTGGGGAGGGAGGAGAGGGAAGAATAGGGAAGGTCATCGCCCTATCTCCCTCCTTCCCCCCTCTCACCTACCAGAATGAAAAGTATGCGACTATGCCCATTACGTGTATAAATTTGTTTGTTCATCCATGATTTATCCTAAACTTCGCCAGCTTTACTAAGCTGGAGCGGTAGAGATGAAATTTAAGCGTAACAAACCATTGAACCAGAGATATTTTCTGTTCAACTGTTTGATGGTTCTTATCTTTCCAGGCACGTTCCCGGAGTCATAAACGCAGACATTCTTTCATTGTTTCCCCGCTCACTACTCTTATCAAGACCAGTAATGGAATCTTAGCCTTTATCCGATTCAGGTAGTTTTGTTTTGCCATATTGTCTGCCATTTCATTTCCCGATACTCCCACATGTCCTAGCACGCATTGGAAAAAGTACTTGTAGCTGCCGTTGTGTATCAGTGATATGATTTTAAAATAAATGTGTGTTAGAGCTTTATTTTGATAGATTAATTTTAGGTGTTTACATGAAGCTGCTGGATCTGTCAGAATATCTATTTTTTGATTGATGTATGTATTTTCGCTGTATATTGTGGAGTTTTAAGTAGTTGTAGACATTATTATTTTAAAATCTGCATTTGAATCACAATTCGAAAATTTAAAAAATAATTATAATAGATTAATTCAACTATGCAATAAAATTTCGATGTTAGGGAAAAGTCCATTTACTTGAAGTAAACGCAGAATCGAACTAAAAATTTAGAGCACCGATACTTCATATCATTTGGTCTGTTGATAGTTCTCAAAAACAATATTTGATAAAAAAATCTAAAACTAAAATAGAGAACATTAGTAAAACAAACATTCGTAACCAGTAAGTGCATTCTCTTAATATGGGCAGGATTATTTTTTCTGTCCGACTTTTTTATTATAAATTGTCTTCTGCTTTAAAAACAAGGAATTTAGCTTATTCATTTTCATTGCTCAATTTTAAAATTCCTTCTTCAATCAATAAATAAAAAAAAAAAAAATGAAATAGCGATATCTGCTTCTTAATTAAACCGAGCTGAAAAAGAACAAGTTAAATCGAAACAATTGTAAACAAGTATAACACACCTATCGTAATATACTAATTAAATAATAAATCTAAAATCAGTTTATGAAAGGAAAACACATTTGGAAATTTTAAACGACCTCCTGACATTTAACCTTGCTAATACTTACGCCGATGACTATGAAGAAAGAATTACTTCAACATGGCCCAGTCATGGGAATTTTTAAAGATTATATCCAAATCTTCTACTTATACATATTTAATTGAGAATTGCCTGAAAAAGACAAAAATTCACATAAAAGATATCAACTATATACATATGCATGTATTCTAATTGTCGACATCTATGGAATTTTACCATGTTTCATTGAACTATTTTGTTATATTTTTATTTATTATATTATTTTAATTACTTTGAATGTAAATCCCAAACATAATGAAAGCCACTGGTTCGAAATAAAACTTAAATACTACAATAAAATTGTAATATTATCAATAAAAAATATTGTAAGAACAAAAACCTCCTTAAATTACAAAAACAAAAAGGATAACTTTTGAGACTTTAAAACCAGTAAAAATTTACATAGAGGGCAAAGAGAGAAAAAAACTTTTGGTTCGAAGAAACATTAAGAATAGTCATGTCTTTATAAATTCGTGATTATTTCACTATTAATCATTCATTATTAGTGATGGGATATTTATAGTCAAAATAAATATCAGTATATTTAGACATAAATATGTAATAAAATCATGGAAATAGTTCATTTTAAAAAATTATAAAATTGAGAAATGGAATGTGAAAAAGCCATTGTAATGACTCAGGGTCATTCTCTTATAATACTGCAAATGAGAATAATCTTTTGAAAAACAAATAGAGCATTGGGCCACGCAATCGATTTAAAGAAACTGAATGATGGCGCAAGTTTTGAACGTTTATCGTGCATAATAGAATTATTTTTATGTTTTTAAGTCCAAGATTATAGTTTGAAGCATCATGTAAATATTGTTTTAATTGCCCTACCTTGCTTCCTCAATTAGTTAGTTTAATTGTCTCAACCCAGGCCATACACATTCGGTGCCCCCAGACAATAACGTCAACTTTCCAAAGTATGTAATTTTACTTCATTCAATATTTCTCGAATACAGTTGCTTTATTGATAGGCTAAACTTAATTATTTTAATAGATTTTGTATTTTTTTTTAATTTCTAACAAGTGGCAAACGCCCCTGAAAATCGGCGTCCACAAAGGACGCCCCTCTCCATGTCGGCGCTCCGGGGCAATTCCCCTGGTTGCCGCACTCTAAGGCTGGCACTGTCTCAACAACCAGCATTAAATTTTCAACAAGAGCCAAACGTTATCTTTCTAATTTTATTGAAGGGTGGGGTGAAAATGTGAAATTACTGATAATAAAAATGTGACTACCTTTAACCGTTATGCATATTTTTCAGAGCACACCGGCATTGTTTATTTTTGCAACATTATATGTTTATAATGTTGCATATAACAACATTATAAATTTTTATAGTTGATGAAAAATCATTCAGAGCTATCCAGTTTTCTATTTCTTTTAGAGGAATTGATCCCCTCCTCACATTTAGAAAAAAATAAAAATGGCCTTTTCGAGTTACAAGCCAGTTTGGTTTGTGGCTTGTGTTTAAAAACATACCAGGCAATAGGTGGTAATCCAAATGAAAATGAAGTTGATAAGCTATGGAAACCAGAAAAAAAGTGTTTTAATCATTCGTTTGGCGTTCCATGTTTCTTTCTGAAACGATAAAGGAGTAGGGTATTTTTATAGCCAGAATTGCCACAACCGGTTCACATATTCATATTAAGTGCACATTTTCCCTTCTGAATTCAATTTACAGATGCTCAGGGAAGGTCAACTGCAGTGTAACGGGTATTTTAATTTAATGTCATTCATCTGGTCTTGTTTTCGAACAAGAGAAAACCAATAAATATTTATTTTTTTATCAGTGGTCTGAGAAATGATCAGTTTATTTTTTGGTTTGTTAAAAAAAAATCTGCCTGTGAAACTAGGGAAATGGCATTTTAAACTTAAGTAGTATTGCTGGTAAGCAGAAGGGAATTTAATTTTGGGAGGCTTGGTTTTTTTTAATTTATATACATTTCATAACCGTAATTACTCTGGAAGAAAAATAAAGAAACCATATAAAATAATGTTTAAGGACTTGCAGTCCTGAACAAAAAATTAATAAGAAATGCTATTCAAAAAAACTGTATAAATAATGTTTTTAGGGATAAATTGTATTTATATTAATTTCTTGATGCATTCTTACATTTAGTAGTTGAAATACATGCATCACAATTTAGAAACAGTATATATTTTGAATTTTTAATTATTTAACTCAAACCAATCACAGAAAAAAATATGAAAAATAGATTATTTTTACATTTTGAGGGGATTTCAATCTGAAAGCCCCTCAAAATGTAAAATCCCGCCAGAGGTGAGAAGTAAAAGCGCAAAAATCTGAGGAAAACAGATTCGAACCAGAAAACTTTTTTTTTTACAAAAATACGTCACTTTCCGTAGAATAAAATTATGTAGAAATCGTAGACACAGGCGGATCTACGGGAGGGAGGAGGCTTTCGGGCTGAAGTTTCTCCAAAATGGTAAAATATAACAATATTTTACAAAAAAAATTATCTCTAAAAGTATTATTGTGCATTACATTTAATAAGATTTCAAGTATCACTTAAAACACAATTTCATATAGGTAGTTAGTTTCTTTCTTTCTTCCGAAGTAATTAACCTAATATATACATAAAAAAGAATCTTTCTGGCTGAAGCATCCCCCCCCCAAATGAAATCCTGGATCCGTTAGTGACCGTAGAAAAGAAAATGAGAAAACATGTAAGTTATAATAAATTAACAAAGCAGTAACAGTTGGCTGTGTCAAAAAATTATAACATTGTGTTAAAAATCTATTTGAAAATTTCTTTCGAAATTAATCATAAAATTTAAACTAAGCTATAGTTAACTTTGCATAACAAATAATTAGTCCATCTCTTAAATAGTTCACTTCTTCTAAGTAATAACTCACCTTAAATAAATAAATAAAACCGATGAGAATTACGAACCATCAACTTTATAATAATGTTTATTTAGTACGAAACTAGACTGCGACGTACATCATAAGAGAGAAACCGACATGCACTGACTCTAGAAGCCAGCTGACTGCAACAGCAAAACTGCTGATTGCCAAGGTCGCATTAGATAAAGTGGCCTCTTTGTTCTTCAGATACTGCCCAACCATATCAGCATTAGTTCAATGCAAAACATCCAAGATAGCTATTCACTGAAGACCATAATAAATCAAGCGTCCAATAAACATCAAAATTGCACAGAATTAGAATTCATGATTCATCAAAATTTCGTGATAATTTTCAGTTTTAAGATATCAAAACTAACTCACCGACCCTTGAGTAAGTTTAAAATATTAAAGAATTATGTAATTATTTGTAACCCTGCAGTTTCACATTTCTTAAATTTGAATTATGCATGCCTATTTCATAAATAGCATTAACTTGATAAAGACCAGCACAATCCAATACTCGGATAACCTCTTTTTATCAAATTATTAATATCCGTTAAGCGCTTTGCAAATGACTTTGTATCTTGCTGTCTTTGTATCTTGTATTTGACTTTGTATCTTATTGTAACCTACAACACTTACATTAGCAGAATTTCTCGAAAATCGGTTATCTACATATATCTATTTAATGAGGTAAGAAATCCTCACTTGATTCCTAAAATAATTTGATCACAAAATCGAGAAATAATGGGGCCTACAATATTGGACATTGCCCATGTCAAATCAAATCAACCTATCAAAATAAGGAGGTTATATAGGACAAACAGCTTAGTAGTTTTTAGGCCACCTTTTTTTCTCAATTTTGTCAACAAATTATCTTACGACTCAAATGGACAGCTAATGGGTACTCATGAGTTTTAGTGCCTCGTTAAATTAATCAATTTAATGAGAAAACGTCCTGATTCTAAGAACTTTAGTTTACGATCAGAAGAAGCCATTCACTAAGTTTTAGAAGGATGTTGATAATTTTATAGAAAGATATCTTTGTGATTATATAAATAAAATTTAATAACAGCATTTATTCTCCCAACAATTCTTCCCTATTTCTACGATCATTCAGGATCACTTTCTTATCATATCTTCAGACAATATCTCATACCTCTATCATCCCATTTTTTTAAAAACATTTGTCATAATTTTTTTATTTTTATATTTTCATAATTCATTCCTTAATTATATTGTGGACTCCTTTAGGGAGAGCCTAGTCATTTCAGAGTCTGACTAGACTCTCCCTAGAGGAGTCCATAATATAATTAAGGGATGAATTATGAAAATATAAAAATTATGGCAAATCTTTTTTAAAAAATTGATCATAGAGGGATGAGATACTGTCTGAAGATGGAATAAGAAAGTGATCCCGAAGTGTCGTAGGAATAGGGAAGAATTGTTGGGAGAGTAAATGCTGTTATTAAATTTTATTTATATACCTCAGATAAAAAGCATCTCCCTTAGGACTTATGAAGAAAATAAATATACATATTTATGTATCATTACTTTAACGATTTTCCAATTTCTATTAATCAAAATTTAGATGAGTATCATTGGATATAATTTAAGGATATCATTTTTTTTTTTTTTTTTTTTATAGTTTTGAGTAGTCAGAATTCTTCTAACCTAGCGATGCGATGAATAAATAAATCATTGAAAACAGTAACAAATATTAAAAATAATATCGACATTGCCAAATAAAGTTTTCTAGTTGCCCTTTGCAGTTACTAATCCACTCATATGATGTAATAAAGATAAAGTCCTATCTCAATAAACGAAATATTTAACATTAAAATGAATTTTTAAACTGGACAATTAGTTCCTAAAATTAAAGCTTTCAAACTCTTTTTTAAAAAATAAAAAAGCTTCCTGTATTTGTATTGATCACCTTATCAGTCTAAAGCCCACCTTATATTCAAGCAAAATTCTTGAATGTTGTATACATAGTAAAAATGTCAATATAATTGTTACAATATTCCTCAGACGTAATATATTTGATACTAACTCAATAATATTGACTATGTAAGGTGGGTTTAAAGAATTGCTATACCACATTTTTCAAGCCTACTCTCCTTTTCAACTAAAGTGATAATTATATTGAAAACACATTCGAATTTTCAATAATGACTATGAATTGTGCTTTAAAAGTAAATTTAGTATTTACTACAAAATTTAACTCAAGATTTTATTTAGGTTGTAAATTGCTCTTAAAGAAACTTTTTTATGATTTTAATATTCATCAATGTTATGATGATCAATGATATTAAGAACTCCAAATTAGCACCGGTTTTAATTTTTCATGAAATTTGGATGATCATGATTTCTATAGATTGCATTTATTTATTTTTAATCTTAACATTTGTAAAAGTTAATACAAAAGTGGATGAAAAAAAATGTGAAAAGCAATAGTTAAACTGCAGTAGCCCATTCTTTAGGCATTTGTTCTGTTATCCAGACTTCCATCATTAGGTTGTAGATCTCTCTTAACAAAGGCTCTCCACAATTCTTTACCATCTCTGCATCTTTACTATCCACACCAGAACATCTATTATTCTTCAATGCAGCTATTACATCTAAAAAATCTTCATAATCTGGAGGCTCTACATCACTGTTGTTAACTTCCTCCTATCCTACTCAAGGGCAGTTTTGCACTACTCTGCTTGGGATTGGTTGTTCAACATTTAATAAATCATTAAAATATACCCTCCACATCTCCAAGATTTTTGATGGAAATAAGAAAGGTGAATAAGTTCACCTTTCTTATTTTTGTATATGGTCATTTTGGATTGGAAACCATTCTTGAATTCCTTCACCCCTTTTTAGAAGTTTCTTGTAAGTTTTGAATCAAAATCGCTTTGAAGCATGTCAAGTTTGCTTTTTTCAAAACTTCTCTTCTCCTGCCTGCACATCTTCTTTGCGATCCTTCTCATTGAGATATACTGCCTACTTCTTCTTGTACCCACAGTAAGCATTCTCAATCTCGCTTCTTTTCTGTCCCGAAGTGACCGGTCGCATTCCTCATCGTACCATTCCTTGCTCGCACTTATCTGTGTTGTCTTCAAAATCTCCTCGGCTCCCTTGTTTAAAGATGATTTAATTCTTTCCCAATAACTGTTTATTTCATCACACTTCTTTAAAAATGATTCCTGAACAATTTCATTAAATTGTTTAGCTTTTTGAGGTATTTTTAAGATTACGGTTTGGTACCTGATAATTCTTTTTCATTATATATATATATGCATACCTTTAAAATATTTCGTGAGAAGGAGTTAGTCGAAGGTGCGGTCAAATAAATAAAAAAAATTAAAATATATTAATTATTTTAATTTTTGCCGACGTTTCGACCCACTTTGCAGGTCGTCTTCAGGGATACAAAAGATACAAAACATGTTGAAAATAAAAAATAAATATAAGTATATATAAAATACGAAGAAGTTGTCAGATACAGAAATAAAAGATGGCATCAGAGATATAGTGGGTGACAATGTAGTTAAATATTAAGAGTTATATATGTAGAAGATACAAATAAATGGAAAATAAGTAGGAATAAAAATAAAAATAAAGGAGAATATAGCTATATTCTCCTTTATTTTAATAAGTAGGATAAAAAGTAAGAAGTAGTAGTAAAATAAGTAGGAATAAAAATAAAAATTCTCCTTTATTTTTATTTTTATTCCTACTTATTTTCCATTTATTTGTATCTTCTACATATATAACTCTTAATATTTAACTGCATTGTCACCCACTATATCTCTGATACCATCTTTTATTTCTGTATCTGACAACTTCTTCGTATTTTACATATACTTATATTTATTTTTTATTTTCAACATGTTTTGTATCTTTTGTAGCCCTGAAGACGACCTGCAAAGTGGGTCGAAACGTCGGCAAAAATTAAAATAATTAATATATTTTAATTTTTTTTATTTATTTGACCGCATCCTCGACCAACTCCTTCTCATATTATATCAACGGTCAACCATCTCTACATCTTTAAAATATTTCAATTAAAACAAATAAAATGATATTTTTAAGGAAGAAAAATGTAAATAAATAAAAAAAGAAGTTAAATATATATATATATATATATATATATATATACATTTTATCTCTTGCTCTTTTTAACTTCTTTTTTATTTATTTACATTTTTCTTCCTTAAAAATATCATTTTATTTGTTTTAATTGAAATATTTTAAAGGTATGCAAAATAAAAAGGAGATTTAAGACTAAATTCAATATGTTTGAAGATATCTTCATAAAAATCAACTAACCTATAGGCTCTGTTAATAGCAAGACATTACTTTGTCTTGCTTTATTGAACATTGAAATAATCAGAATCATTTGTAAAAAGAATAAAACAAAAATATAAACAGTTTTGTATTTTTTAAAAAGTTAATTCAATTAAGAAAGTAAAAATCAACATAAAATTAGAGCTGATATAAAACCAGCCACTAACAGGGTTATTATTATTTATTTTTTTTAAGGGTACAGGTTAGCTCAGTGATAGGGATCCAAGCTTCCAATGCTCAACGTTTCAGGCTCGAATCCCGCCTCATTGCAGAAAAATTATTTATTCTGTTTCATTGGGTGTGGGCCGACCCTGGGATAAAGAGACCCTCCTGGGGCACACCCAACCTCTAAAAGTGGCTACCCTTCATTAAATAATTGATTAATGGAAAAAAACTAATGGTTGAGCATGATTCTGGCCCGATCTCCTCTATTCCCTGCTCAACCATAAGCCTTGAAACAGTTATTTCCCTAAATATTACTGAATCCAAGACCCATCATGAGTTGTAGTGGTACAGGTTTTGTTTTTTCTAATATAGTGCATAGAAGATAAAAAGAATCTTTCAAATGTTTTGATTTTATTCAGTTGGATTTATTTGACATTATGTTACTAAAATAGAATGGTAATAGAATAAGGAACATAACAACTGTAACAGGGAGCCTGTTGGGTAATATCTTTGATAAATAAAAAGATAACTGTACAATATATTTTTTTTAATATTATGATGTAAAATCAGGTAATAACACAACAGAGAAAAGTTTATTTTACTACCAAGATTTCAAGAAAATTGATTGATAAATTATGCAAAGTTCATTTTAATGAGTTGCTACTATAAGATTAAAAAACTTC